GGGAGGCGTCGCAGTTGAGGTCTGCGACCGAGCAGCGCAACACGGGCCCACGAAGTTCCTCGTCCAATCTCGANGTGTGACATACCGTGCAGATTGTAGGAACCAGGAGTTGTTGGCGCCGGCGTGTGGGTGGTGGTGCGGTTGTGTGTGTTCTGTGGTCTGTAGCAGTTGTGGTGTGGTCTATTGTGTTATGTTGTTGTGCTGTGGTGTTTGTGTGGGGCTGCTCAGGTGGACTGGGGTTAGCCGTGGAGGCTGCTCTGTTTGAGCAGCAGGGGGCCACAAAAGACGTGGTCCACTGCCGATGTGTCCGCAGTCCTGAGCAGACTCTGAGGTGACTCCACCCCTCGCAGGCATTACACTTGACTGAGGTGGAGTTGTGGTGTAATCGTCTCCGGCATACACAGCATTTGTAGGTTTCTGGCCCTGGGTTTGACCCTATGGACGGACAACTTCTGTGATACTTCGCCGACCAAAACGGGGTTAGATCGCCGAAACAACAGCCCTTGGTCGGGTAAAACCCGAGTCTTTCCGGTACGTAGAACCGGCTGTCGTGGGAATGACGTATTTGTTTTCGTACGCCCCACTGTAATTTACAATGATTTTTATTTTTCGAGTTTAACCAATAAAAATTAAAAATAATAATTAATATTTGAGTTTTAATTTTTCACTCAAAAGTAATTATTGTTACTAGATTTTTATTTTTTTCGATCAAAATGATTTTTTTATGATTTTTATCATTTCGCTCAAAGATAATAATTATTATTGAGTTTTATTTTTTCACTTAAGAATAAGTATCATTCAAAAAATCAAAAGCTATACCAGCGCGATTTCCGCCTTATCCTTTTCAGAGGTAGCGACACCTTAATAAAGGAATAAGCCTCAAAATTTTTAGGTCAAAATTTCCGTAAGTTGCGTCTGTATAGCCTTTTAAATTCAATGAATAATCATTATTTTCAAGTGGAAAAATAAAACTCAATAATATTTATTATCTCTGAGCGAAAAAATAAAAATCATAAAATAATCATTATTTGTGTTCGAAAAAATAAAAATCAAATAATAATTATTTCCGCTGAGTAAAAAAATAAAAATCAATAATAATTATTATTTTAGAGCGAAAAAAATTAAACTCATAAAATAATGATTAAATGCTGATTTAAATTATTTTACTCATAATGATAACAGGCATTGCAGAAGAAGAATAATAAATTTCACTATCTTGTATTTGTGTAAAGTAGTTGTTAGACGTGGCAAGTGCAAGTAGTTTTGAAGTCTGTCAAACTCAAGATTTTGGAAAAGTGATTGCGTGTAAAGTGATTTTCGAGAACAGTTTTAAATTTCCGAAAAGCAAACATTCTGAAACTACTCGTATCTCTTTACACGGCTATTGCAGAAAATTTTCAATTATGTTACTAGACATTTTGATGCCAACAAGGAAATAGTATGGACTCAAAATGTTACTAAAAAATTAAAAACATACTCTTCTAAAAATAGAACAAATAATTGGACCTAAGTCGCTCAAATATGTCTGATGAGATATACAGGCCTATTCTGCTTGTAACCGAACATTTTGTAACAAGCTAATTTTGTTACCAACAATTGTCACCACTTCTTGTAACCGCAATTCTACTTACCTTGGTAACGTTTTAATTTATTCAGCAATTCAGCTATGGAGTTTCGTTGAAATTCGGGTGTTGCATATTTCACGGGGCAATATTTTGTTACCTGCTCATGAGATGGTAACAAAATTTACCGGTTACAAGAGTGTGGAGAATACGAAAAGTGTTTAAAAATTGACAGTAACTTTACTAACCGGTAACAAAATTTTTATTACCAACGCAGAATAGGCCTGATAATGTCATACGATATACACTGAAGAGCAAAACTGGAAAAAAAAACGGAAAGTTAGGTCAGTGGTAATGTACTCTTTCAATTTAATGGATTGATGGCAATTCAAAACTGTATTTCGCCTTACCGATGTTTAACTTAACATTTGACAATAAAAATTTTAAGATTTGCTTATGGAAATAAGTTGAAAATGACCAAGTAAAAATTAATTGCATTATTCCAGTTTTGCACCCTCTTAGTAATCGCTGAATTTTATAATTCCAGGAAGAGTTCTCGCTCTTTTTCTGACAAATTTTAATCTTGCTTTGTGTTCCTTAATCAAAAAACTAAAACTTTTTCCACCAACGTCTGAAAGTCCGTGGTATATTAAAAATCGATGGTGACAAGGAAAATGACAATAAATCAGTGCTTTCAACGATTTGGGCAATTTCTGTAGATATTTTTCGCATTATTTTTAAATTGTAACAGGACTATGATCCGAAACATTTTTCGAAACTGGGACTAAAATTAAAAAATTCAAGTTGGTTATAGCCAATTTATTAAAAGTCAAGCAAATGGTAAACTTTTCTATCCCATGCAAAACTGGAATAATCAGTAGTTGTTACGTTTTCTAGCAATTTTCTTTATCCGCTTGTTTTAATTGTTCTTTTTACGGTCTTCTGATGAAATAAATCTGAAATCCGAAATTAGATTACCAAAAAAGTTTTGAAATGTTGCGAATATAGCATAGCGCGAGAAAGTTCACATTCTGTATTATTGTTCAACCTGAACAGGGTACATACGTTGCTTAATGCTATTACTGAATGACTTATTTTGGAATGTATTTCCATCATCCCTCGTCAAGTTTGGTTTGGAGACAAACCAGTTTCGGCGTTTTGCCATCTTCAGTGTAATTTGTCGTTCTCTCGCGAACTGAAGATGGCACAACATCGAAGTTCGTTCCGACATAAATCAACCAACACCAACACCAACAAACTGTTACTGTACTTAAGAACACACACAAAATTTGATTTTGGAATTATATTCCACTGCGGCATTAGAATAAACCGTTTATGGCGCAATCGCTTGGGCGTTGTGAGTAAATCTGACGTACGGGATTCTACCGCGCGGTACCGTCCACGCCTTTTTGGATAGGCCCAAATACTAAATATTTTTAGCCTATTGTCTGTGTATTTAACGCTAGCGACCCTGTTTAAAGGAAAAATTTTGTAAAATTCGTTCATATAATGGAATTTTTATGGAAATTTATGGTATCTTACTGTTTTTTGGGTCGATGAATTCAATTTTGACGATTATTTTTATCTAAAACTTACGCTAGTTGGCGCTGTAGAATGTTTGCTATTTTTTATATTTATTTATTTATTTCGATTTATTTATACGCCAGTCAGCTCTACACATAATACACGTAAGCTTTTTAACAAATTTGAAAACGTAAATGGTTAACAATAAATATCAATTGCAAAATTATTAGTAGATGTCAAAAGAATACATGACTTCAAGCACTGTTGCCAACTTAGTGCTTTTCGCACTAAATTTAGTGCTTTTTTAAATTCAAAATGCGAAAATTTTTGAGTTTGGTGCTTGGTGCGTTTTTTGGTGCTTTTTTTAGTTAGAAGACACCAAAACTGTAAATCTGCAGCAAAAATGGAAGTTTAATTTAAAGCAATTGGAAGTTTCGTAAGCAACAATGGTACAATGACAATCATAAGCGAAAGAGCATATGTTTGTCAAAAAAATATGTGGCAGCATTTTCAATCATGCCAGAATTACACACGGTAATTTGCCATTGCCTGCAAAAACGTCCATGTTGCTAGGACCAGGAATCGATCTTTAGATCTTTAATTTGGGATGAATTTGTTATGTTTTTACGAATACTAAAAAAACGCCAGTATCTCCTAACAGTAAAATGAATAAGCACCTTCGACCGCCGAGCAAGAAACATTAATTTTTATTAATTTGAATCGGCATACCTACAATAAAGTTTTTTATGCATACAAAGTTCATTAAATCCTCCAATAAAAAATTTGGTGCTTTTTCGCGAAAAAACGCGCTTTTTCTTGGGTTTTAGTGCTTTTTCAAATTCATAACTTGGCAACATTGATTTTAGAACACTTATGAGACCAGCGTCAGAACCTTCCAAGAAATTAGCACTTGGTGCATGTCGGTTGACTAAGTGTTGAACGGTACATAGGAGATATAGTTCCGGTTAGAATTCGTAACATCTAATCGTAACATCGATCGAAGAAGTGTTGCTGGGGAATCTATTAACCCATTTACGACCTTACAAAACAAGGATAGATCCGCTATTTGCCTCCTGCTGTATAAAGTCTTGATCTTGTACCTGTGCTATATGCCACTCGTATTTACACAGCTTCCATCTTGGGACTGATACAGCAGGAACTTACTAAACTTACGTTGCACCTTTTCGACGTACTTTACTTGGAGCTCAGTACATGTGGCTAAATATTTTTTAATGATTTTTCATTGAAACATAGTATTTT